AAATACTACGGGGACAGGGGGGGGGGCGGTCGCCTTGGGCTCCTGGAGAGCCTCCTCTTGGGGTCTGCGGCTGGATGGCCCTGTCGGCTTGCCGCGCCTTAGCTTGTTCCGAAAAAACCGAGTCCAAATCTTGTTTTCCACGGCGCTGCGGAGGCCGTGGCTGATTGGTCCCCTTGGAGACCGAGCTATGCCCTAGGATCTTGTCCTCGGGGAGATCGATGCTCGGATGATCTGTGCCTAGCTCCTCCTCGATGTCTCCGAAGTTACTGATGTACCCTGTGCTCTGGTGAGCTGTGCCTAACTCCTCCTGGGTGTCTCTGAAGTCCCTGACGTACCCCTGATCTGGTAAACTACTGGCGATCTCCCCTGAGTCCTCGTTCTCGTGACCTGGATAGTTCCTGAGACCTCTTCTTCTTCGAAGCGTGCGAGGCTCGGCCAGGTGGGCGACCGTTGAGACAAAGACAATGAGCAGACTGAAGACGACGATGTCACGACGAACGCTGGCCCCAGCGTCCGACATGTGCGATGCTGGACCACCTGCAAACCATAACCAAAGACAGAAAAACACTGAAGAGCTCTCTGAGGCACCGAGACACCATGGCTAAGTGGCCTCACCATCTCTGCTATCCGGTGGCCTGCTTCCAACTTTTTCAAAACCAATGGTGCTCCCGAAGCGCCCTGAAGCCATGGTGTTGTCAGGTAGGCTGATCGCGCACTTCAGGAAGTCCAGGAGATTGGCCTAGAAGATGTGAAGTACATCCTCCAAGAGACCCGTTGTCTCGATAACTCCCCAAATTCCAAACAAACAGAGCGGGAACAAGATGGTACTGATGACCCTGGCTGGCGACTCCGGGTGCTGAGGCCCGTCTATGATGGTCAGGAGGAACGTCAACGTCCTGCAGTCCTATGCCCGCCAGGGCACGCGCCTCGCGGTTCAGAGCCTCGACCCCGACGAGGTCGCTCCCCGCGCCTGGGGTCTACCAAACCCTGGCGCGGAAGCGTCGCCAGGTAGATGTCCTCGAACTGGATATCCTGGTGGATCTTCGTCCAGAAAGCTGCCTCCCGGGGCGTCGGCGTCTCGGGGGACCAATCGACCTCGGAGACTTCGTTGAACGTTTAGGCCGAGAGCTCCTGACGATCTGTGCTGTTCTGACCTGCGTTCCAAAGACACTCCTTGCTCCAATGTCCCTTTTGATTGCATGTCTTGCACCAGGTAATTCTCATTATCTGCTTGAAGGTGGGGTTCGGCCGACGTGTAGCTCTGTCTCCCCAGGCTGCGCCGTCGGCCATGGCGGCTCCGCGCGCCAGCCAATCTTCCCGCTGACGGGGGTTCCGGCCTGAGGAAGAGGTGGTGCCCGGCGGCCTCCGAGGTACTCTCTGTTTTTCTTTGCGGCCCTCTTGAAATCTTTGTTCCCCTTCCCATGAGCGGCCGCTGGGTCTCGCCGCGAATGCCTGGAAGGCAGCATGTACATGGTCGTAAAGGTGCAGGTCCTCGAGCTCCTCCATGAACACAACGGCGTCGTCTTCGTCCAGGTCGTCGTTTTGTTCGGAAGTGCCGTCGCCAGTCTCCTCGCCGCCGTCACACCGATCAGCGGGGAAAGAGGGAGAGGAGAGAATCTGATCAGCATGCTCGCCCTCCATCGCTGGCTCTTCGGCCATTGTTGGTGCGGCAAGCATCGCACCTGCGCCAGAGCGGCCTGGCAGGAACTTCTCAGCACCAGCGGCGTCCATCTGGGCGCAGCGCCCACGCCGCGCTCTCGTAATCCAGGGGACCCTGCGTGAGTGTACGGAGGGTCTGTTGACCTTGGGCATTCAGCCCTGCTCCTTCTTCAAGGAAGGGCCCCTTCAACTTGGAGGAGAACCACATGTCATGACCGTCGGCCTCCGAGAGCTGGGCCTCTCTCCTGATCGCATGCTGCACCAGGGACTCGCGCGGCTGGCGCGCCGCCGCGCACAGGGCTCTCCTGCCAACCCTGCCGAAGTCGTCGCCTTCACGCTCGCCAGCCATAGCGTCCATTCTCTGCCGGATCACATCGAGCCAGCTGGAGCTATTCAGCGTGCTCTCTGGGATGTCTTCGAACTTGGCCCGAATATTCCAACCGAAGGGCTTCAACAACTTTTCGGCCGGCCTCCAGACTGCAACGTCTGTGTTGTTGTTCCATCGTTTAACCGAGCGGTTCCACTATCTATAATGGTTCCACCCTGGCCATGATGGCGGGTCCGAGTCCGAATAGTCGCCTTTGCCAACGGCTGCGCCGGACCAGCTGTTCCATTGATTGGCTGCTCCCCAGCTGCCCCAGCGGTCCCACTCCTGGGCTCCCTTGTCGTCGTCGTCGTCGTCGTCGTCGTCGTCGTCGTCGTCGTCGTCGTCCTTGGCACCCCAATTGTGGTCGTCCCAGCTGCTCTCGTGCCAGCGCCGGCCTCCTGACTGCCACTCCTCATGACTCCGATCCCTGGCCGGGGAAGCTGCTGCCTTGGCCTGGTCGATGCTCGACTGCCAAGGGTCGGCGCCTGCTGTCGCCTGAACTGTTGCACCGCTGGCGCCCACAGTCTCCCTGACTATGCCGGCGATCAAATCACGTAACTGCTCTGGCGTCAGCCCTGCTGCGGTCTGGGCGGCTGGAGCCCTCGCTGGAATGCTCGCTGCGCCCGAGGCTGCAACGCCGTCCTCTACGTCGCCACCCACGCCGTGGAGGCCACGCCAGTCGGGTTCCGGAAGCGGAGCCCGCGCTGGAGGCGCTAGAAGGGCTCGCCAAGGAAACGCCAGACACCTAGCGTTCCACTCGGCCTCCCATTGGCCGTCTAGCGGGGTACCCCGCTCCCCTACCAACTGTGACAACAACTCCCCAACCCCTGTGGCTTTTCAGATTTGCGCTAACACTGCATCGGGACGGACATTACACGGCCGAATCTAGAAATCAAATCCTGGAGCACGTCTACAAGGTGAGAAAGAAAAGAAATATGACAAGAAAAAGGAGAGGGCCGGTATTCCGAGGAATTTCTGGAATTTCTGGATTTCCTGGGAATTTCTGGAATTTCTGGAATTTGGATGTGGAGGCCCGTGCGACGCCGCGCCGGCGCTGTGGCAGACACGACACGCTGCTCACCACCCGCGCCCTCGCCGGCTGTCGGCTGGGCTGTCAAAAAAAACCGAGAGGTGTGGTGAACTGCGGCCGCGATTCCCCAAATCGGTTCGAAGCTCCTGGGGAGTTAATTACGCAGAAAGCATCTATACACCACCACCGTGCCAAGCCAGGGCCATCCTGGGCCCTAGGATGGTGTATACGCCCTCCTGGCCGAGCCAGGAGCGTCTATGCACCATCCTACGGCCCAGGATGGCCCTGGCCTGGCACGGTGGTGGTGTATAGATGCCTTCGTCGGAATTAATGAAGTTCTACTGGAACCCTCGTGGGGCCCTCTGAAGTCGCCCCTTTCTCGTCATCTCGCCCTCGCTCCTCCTCTTCTCTCCTGTTCCCAAGGCTGCGCGGCGCTGTGCTTTGCCGTCTGTGTCCGAGGCAACCCACACATTGTGCTGTCATGTGCGGTCAGAGGGTCGTACACAAGCTCCACCCCCCGGACTGGGCACGGCACCATCGGGTTGCTGACCAGCGGTCGTGTACAGTGAACGAATCCACAGATTGTATTGTCGAGTGCGGGCAATCTATGTTTGAAGGCCATCCTCAGATAGTATTGCCAAGTAAAGACAAGTGTCCCTGGTCCACAGTTTGTTGTGTCAAATGCGGACGGATTGCCTGGGCTTGCGCGCACACAATCTGCGGACAGGAAGCGCGACGAAGAGAGGAGGAGAGTACGGGTCCGAGGGAACCACGCCATGCACACTGCTGATAACTATTCGGATCGGATCGACGAAATTGCGACCACGCGCCCATTTGCAATCTAGTCGTGCCCACCGCCGGTGAGTAGTTTTTTTCCCCCTCGTTCGCTGACCGCGCGCCTCGATGAATCCAGCTGCGCCAAGCGCGGTCCAGGGAAGGATTGGGCGCAGTTGCACCATGTCACGCCGGAGGTGCTGGATGGCGCCAGCCCTACGCCACTGCAGCGTGGGATTGTTTCCGACGTCGCACGAACATCGTTTTTCAATCGAATTTGCCAGACGGGCGCGTCGCCCCTTGCCGAGCTGGTCGGCATTCGATTAGTCCGCGGGGCCAAATCCGGACAGTACTTGAATCTGTGGAATTTGGCGGCTAGATATGCACAACTCTATAAAGAACATAACAGACAATCCCGAAATACAATCCAAAACGGTTTACGGGAAGATGAAAATAAACTGGACAAAACAAGCCAGAACCGAATCCAATAAGTATCAATCGTGGTGGAGGGTTGCTGGAACTGCTGAACGCGTATACTATGAAGTAAGACTACGGGATTGGGTGCTGTATACTGTTGCCGATTCAATTTCCGTGCATTGCCGATCCCATTAACGTGAGCTGCCGATTCTGCCGTTGTGCATTTCCGTTTTGATGTTTGCAAGTTGCCAATTCCGTCGCTGCAAGTTACCGGCTCCGATCTTTTCAATTGCTGATCCCGTCAATGCAAAGTGCCGATTCCGTCGCTACACGTTGCCGCTTCCTGTTTCAATCGTTACAAGCTGCTGATTCCGTGGCTGCAAATTGCCAATTTTGTCGTTGCACAATTCCGATCCCCTCGTCTAATTAATTGCCGAATCCGTCGTTCAATTGCCGATGCCGGACCGCATTGCCGCATTCTGCACCATCTTACTGCACTGCGAACGGGTCTATGTCTGGATTGTCATACGTGCTCCCAATACCAAGAGCGTTTAGATACACAGCGTTTAGATACACAAGACACACGAATAACCACTCTGATGCAAACGGCCCCATGCATGATACCAAATTTTCGTTCCAACAAATTTAATCCGTCAATCTGGCAATGCTAATTGCTGGAGGTCGGCTTGCGCTGATTCGAAGCGCAATATTGTGATCCTGTGTTTTCCACTGACTCGAATAGAATTCGATGATCGAAGAACAAAGCTACCCCCCCAGCATCATGCGAGTAAAGAGCGGCAAAATCCATAGGATGCATATCTGTGGGTGGGACTGGGATGCAGGTAGTGCGCAACATGCGCTGCACATTGCGGTCGGGAATGCACGCTCCAGCTTCTGCCGACACTTGCCTCCACGCTGTTGCAGATGCCCGGCGACGGCCACCATGCTCTCGCAGAGCACTGCAACCTCGCCGAACAACTCCATGACCGTCCGCCGAGGAGCGCGCCGGGACCACTCGCTGGTCGTGCGGAGGGGGGGGGGGACAGAGCAACCTCGGCCGGCGGGTGCGCGGTCGCTCGAAAGGGAGCTGGCCATCGCTTGGACGTCCATTCTCTGTGTTCTTTTTCGGTTTCGTGCGTGGCTTTTTCGCCAAGTGATCAAGGATGCTCCTCGATGGTCCTCGCCGAAGGAAACTCGCACACGTCCGAGCGATGCCAAGGGAGTGGGAGGGGCGACAATTTGGATGACAGGGCGGGACGGGGCGACATCGGGGTGAGGCAGGCTGGGCCGGGCGCGGTCTGGGCCGCTCTGGGCTCTGCGCGGCTGGGTCGAAAGGGCCTGCCGGGCCGGGTCGGGCTGGCGGAGGGGGGTACCAGAACCGGGGGCCAGCGGCCGAAGACGACGGCGAGAGGTTGCCATACGCAGCTCCGACCGGCTCAGAAACGTCTGGGACGAGGCTGGCCCCGCGTCCTCCGGTCACGCCCCAAGTTGCCCCAGAGAAGCCTTGCCGAGTCCCCCCCCCTGGCCCCAAGACGCCCTCGAGGGAACACGACGAGAAAGCCATCCGCGCGCGAGCACTTTTCGACTACACGCAAGAGTGACCCTGGGCAAGGGTGACCTTTGGTGCGCGGTTATTGGGGTCCGCGGGTGAGCCGAACACAAGCGCGCAAGACGCTACTGCCACCTCGCGTTCGGCGATCGGGGGACCCCATTGGGCCCGCACCAAAGGTCACTCTGGCGAAAGGTCACTCTTGCGTCTAGTCGAACTTTGCGAGCACCACGCCCTGTCACCGCTCGCGGCTCGCAGTCTGTCTCGCCGGCACACGCTCGGGCGCCTCCTTGGGCTGCCGAGAGCAGGGGAAAGGATGCCGCGCCGTGCATTGAGGCCGCACGCGGGGTGTATCTAGCTGCCTTCCGTCTGGGCCTACTCCTCCTCCTCGTCCTCCTCCTCCTCCTTGTCCTCCTCCTCCTCCTCCTCCTCCTCTCCCTCCTCCTTCTTCTCCTCCTCCTCCTCCTCCTCGTCCTCCTCCTCCTCCTCCTTCTCCTCCTCCTCCTCCTCCTCCTCCTCCTCCTCCTCCTCCTCCTCCTCCTCCTCCTCCTCCTCCTCCTCCTCCTCCTCCTCCTCCTCCTCCTCCTCCTCCTCCTATTCCTCCTCTTTCTCCTTCACTTCTCGGGCGGGTCCCAAACATATCGGCGCGTTCGTTCTCCTGCGCACCATCGGAGGCGTTGGCTCCAGGCAGAGGCGTCTACCTTATTCCCAACCCTTCTTGGTTGGGTATTTGTTTTGAATAGAGCACTGCGGTCGCGTCCTCCTCCTCCTCCTCCTCCTCCTCCTCCTCCCGCCCCCCCTGCCTCTTGTCTCCTCTTGCCTTGTTTGGGGGGCTGCGATCAGTGAAACTGTGGCCACTTTCGAGGGCTGCTGGTGGGTCCAGCGGAGTGAGGCACCGCGCGGGCCTGAGCGAGACCTCGCCGTCCCTGGGGGGCTGCGATCTGCGAAACTGTGGCCACTTTTGAGGGCTGCTGGTGGGTCCAGCGGAGTGAGGCACCGCGCGGATCTGAGCGAGACCTCGCCGTCCCTGGGGGGCCGCGATCTGCGAACCTGTCGCCACTTTCCAAAGCTGCTGGTGGGTCCAGAGGAATGAGGCACCGCGCGGATCTGAGCGAGAACTCGCCGTCCCTTGGAGGCCGCGATCTGCAAAATTGTCGCCACTTTCGAGGGCTGCTGGTGGGTCCAGCGGAGTGAAGCACCGCGCAGTTCTGAGCGAGACTTCGCCGTCCCTGGGGGGCTGCGATCTGCAAAATTGTCGCCACTTTCGAGGGCTGCTGGTGGGTCCAGCGGAGTGAAGCACCGCGCGGATCTGAGCGAGACTTCGCCGTCCCTGGGGGGCTGCGATCTGCGAAACTGTGGCCACTTTTGAGGGCTGCTGGTGGGTCCAGCGGAGTGGGGCACCGCGCGGATCTGAGCGAGACCTCGCCGTCCCTTGGGGGCCGCGATCTGCAAAATTGTCGCCACTTTCGAGGGCTGCTGGTGGGTCCAGCGGGGTGAGGCACCGCGCGGACCTGAGCGAGACCTTGCCGTCCCTGGGCTGCGATCTGCGAAACTGTCGCCACTTTCAAAGGCTGCTGGTGGGTCCAGCGGGGTGAGGCACCGCGCGGACCTGAGCGAGACCTTGCCGTCCCTGGGGGGCTGCGATCTGCGAAACTATCGCCACTTTCGAGGGCTGCTGGTGGGCTCGCCACTTTCGAGGGCTGCTGGTGGGCCCAGCGGAGTGAGGCACTGCGCGGACCTGAGCGGGGCCTCGCCGTCCCTGGGCGGCCAGATCATGTTGTTGCTGCCCCGCCGACAATTCAAGCCCCTTGCCCACAGTCTCCTTTCGGACCTTGCGTCTTCCTTCGTGACTCAAGGGTTTCATCGTTTCTCCTTGATTGGGGACCTGCGAACCTTCCGAATGCCGCTCGCAGAAGTATATACGTCGATGTCACGTCGCTGCCTTCTCGTCAAATCTCCCAATCTACTCCCGCCCCGCATTGCGCACGGGTTGGGTACGCTGCCAGGATAATTCTACTCTACTAGAATACACATTTTTCTGCACTGCCCTACTCTGCTCTTAGCTACCCTACGCTACCCTGCCCTTTTTTTTACTCCACTCTAATACACGCAACTCTACTCTTCGCTACGCTACTCTACTCTACCCCTCTCCACTGTTGCCTACTCCACTCTATTTTACTCTACCAATCTGTACGCTACTCTACTCTAGTCCACCCTACCCTACCTTAGTCTACCCTCCTTCACACTAGCTCTACCCGACCCTACTCTACTCTAGCCTACTCTATTCCACCCGACTCTGCTCTACCATCTACCCTGCTCCTCCCTACAACACTTCGCTCCACCCTGCCCTGCTCTACCATATTCTGCCCGATCCTATCCTACACTACGTTCCCGTACCCCACTTTACTGTACTGCACGCTGCTCCTACTCATACCATTACTCCTGCTCGACCCCGACCCTACTTTGCTCTATTCCAGCGCCTCTTCTACTCCACTCTGCTCCTACGCTACTCTACCGCCCCCCCTGGTTTAACCTGGCAGACGAAGCCTTGCGGACAGCAGAGAAAAACCATGCGACTAGTCTGGACGAAGCCAGGCGGATAATGGAAGCAACCATGCAGATAGTTCGACGAACCCTACTGTTCTCTACTCCTACTATACTCCGCTCTACACGCGGCGCGCATCCCGCGTGAAAGGTCGAATCGTCGCTCCTCGGCGCCGCCGTCAACGTTCTAAAGAAATGTGCTCCAACTGGGGCGCGGCGCACACTTTTTGCGCGCCACGTCCGTTGATGCGCGAACGGGGAAACGTGTGGTTTTCGCCATGCCGCCGCGCAGATTTCAACTGAAAATCGCCATCCCGCCTGGACGCGGAGCATTTGCTGCATTCGCCCGTGTTTGGGCAGCCCGCGCGCGTGGGAAGCGGGGTCGCGTGCGGGCGCCTTCCGTTTGCGAGGTGCGAGCGCTTTCCAATCCCAGTACCATACTGTGCCGCACCTGTTTCTTATGTTTTTGGGAGGGGGATGAGAATCACACAGGGCCCTCTGACTCGTTCGAGCTGGCTAGCTTGACTCTATTCCTCCCGCTATTTACTCTGATCAGCTTTCCTTTCCTCTGCCCTGGCAGACAAATCCATGCGGATTGCCTCTACTCATACTCTACTCTACTCTACCCCATTCCTGCTTTATTCGGCTCCGACCCCTACTCTATTCGAATATGCTCCTGTCTAAGACTAGCAGACGAAGCCTTGCGAATGGCATAGGAAACTGCGCGGGTAGCTTGGGCGAAGTTGATAACTTTTGTGCCAAAGAGGCTGCGGAAGGGTGGCGCAACAATAGCGCCTCAGGCTCTGGTTGCACCTGCTCTCTCCGCGGTTTCCCTCAACGCACCCTCGAGGTCGCCAGGTCCACTCTTCTGGGCCCAGACCTCGGAGGGAAACGCAATCAACATGGCTTCTAAAATGGAACGGGGGGTAGCTAGGCCACTGAGGCCCTTCTCCCCTCAAAAATTCATCTTCCTATATTCTATTACCCAGGTGGGTTACCTTCTCACTCACTCTTTTCTCATCCGCCTGGGCTCAAACCTCTATCTCCCTGCGAGCGTGCCAAGCCAGCCATCTCCAGGAATTTCTCCAGCTTCTCCCTGGTCATCGGCTTGGTCATCATGTCGCTCGGCTGCTGCAGCGCCAGGAAGCGTATCTCCGCGTGCTTCATCTTTCCTGGCCCGCGCTTCTTCACGACCTGTAGCTCACTGCTGCTGTCGCCCATCGCGAGCGGTATCGTCTTCTCCTTCCACTCCTGGAGTAGTGATTCCAGTCCGAGGGCCTCCGCTGCTCTCGATCCCAGCGCGTAAAGCTCGCTCTCCGCCGAGCTAAATGTTGCGCAGCCCTGGCGTCTTGACCACGACAGGACGGTGCATCCGTGGTACTTCAGGATGCCGCCACTCGTCGAGATCCTGTCCGTCTTGTCATCGGCCCAGTCTGCATTCACCCAGCTCTCCACTGCAATGCCTCCTTTGTTCCGAACCAGCTGCATCTTGTAGCCTCGCGTGCCTGCAAGGTACCGAGCCATCTTCTTCAATCTCCTCAGGTCCTGCTCCGCAGGTCCTGACATGCCCCTGCTTAGAACTCCAACTCCATGTTGAATGTCAGGACGGTGGCTCGCCAACTGTAATAGCGTCCCCACGCAGGTCCGGCAGCGACTGTGGCCCACCGTGTCTAGCTTCACCTCGTCGCTCTTCATGTGTATCTCGTTTTTTTAGGCTCGGGCAGTACTGGTGGCTTTGTTGTCGCCAGGCCCAGCTCCTTCAGGATGTCGTCAATCAAGCTCGTCTTGCCGCTGATCGTGTAGCCGCCCTCGACCTTCTCCGCCTGCGTGCTTAGGAACGTCGCCTGGTCTCCGTTCTTGGTGAGCTATACTACGTCCGATAATTTCGGTCTCTCTCCCATCACCTCTAGCAACTTGTCGACTTCGTCGCACTTCGTCGCTCGGACCAGTGATTAGGACATCGTCGGCGTGTCTCCCTGCCTTCATCCTGCTGCTCAGCTTCATGAAGAGACGCCCGTCGTAGTGGCCCCTGACCATCTCAAGCTCCTCCATGGTGTTCGCACTGTGGTCCCCCCAAGACTTCGGTGCTCCTTTGAATCCTGGAAATGCGCACAACGCCTCCCGAACATGTCCTTCAGGTACTCCTGCTTCTGGTGATGGCTCCAGGAAGATACGGTCCTCGGTGAGCGGTGCCTGTTAGACAATTCCACTGCAGTCGCCAGACGCCAATGCGTGGTCGCGCAACTCCGCGTTGACCAGCATCGCCTTCAAGTGTGGGAGTGAGGGGGTTGTGACCACGAATTTCTCGCGCCCGTGCACCTGCTGCTCGAAGCCCCCCGTGGTTCATCGACTCTTCTTGCTGCCGTCCGCCTGGTAGGTATCGATCCACTTCCCCGTCAGGATCTTGGACGTCGTGTCCTTGGTCGGGATTACCTTATTATCTTCTTGCCGTCTCCTGCGACCTTCTCCACTTGCTCCTTCCTTGCCTCCGTGAAGTCGCCCTCCAGCGCGTGCGTCTCCTCGTCCTCCACCCGTGGCTCCTCGCGCATCTCCCTGGCCGCATTGATCATCTGGATGGTAGTGACCCTGGACTTCTTGCCTTCGCTTCCTTCTCCGCCTTCGCGTTCTCGTTTGAGGCTCCTCTCTGCCAGCGGAATGCCCACTGGCGGCGGTGGTGCCGCCCTCAGTGTTGACGGTCCTACCTCCTCGTCCCTGGGCCTCTTCGCCTCCAGTCGCTTCTTGTCCATGTCCACGTCGTCGTACGGTGCTGCCGCCGCTGATGCTGCTGCTGTTGACTGTGGTGGTGCTGCTTGTGGTCCTTCTCCTCGTTCGGGTCCAGGTACTTCGGT